AGTATGACGATGTTGATACAAATAATGATTTTTCAGCGTTTATAAAAAGCATGACTGAGGTACAATCAATTGTTTTCAGGGTTATCTTTTATCAAGTGATTACAGGTTCAAAGTGCTTAATATTATAAGGTAATAATAAAGATAAAGATGATACATTTGCTGATATTGATGTTTTTTTGTTTTAAATTTCCACCTCCACATTAACAGTTAATTTGTGAACATTATTTCAAAGCTGTTATTTAAACGTACTAATTTTCCTCCACCACGGAAGTTAATGTGTTCATTACACATGTTTTGTCTGCTTGTTTGTTGGGATTATGCAAAAACTAATGAATGGATCATCATAAAATTTAATGGCGCAGTACATCATGGTCTGAGAAAGAGGTTATTAAGTTCAGGGTGAAAAGTTAAAATTTCAGGGCCAAGGTCTTGGAAAAATCACATTAATAAAGTGGTGTGGCAGAGGAGTTATGCACTCTCTATCAAGTGCATCGTTCAAACAAGTATGTATTTTTTATGACCATAAATGGTGATATTGCTGTTGATGGGAAATAATAAACAAACAATGTGACAGATGGTAGAAATTTCAGAATACCATCAACAATATGATTTGAAAAACCATTACCGAATGATTGCATGTACGTAATATTAAAGATAGAAACCTCTAGAAAACCAACATTGCTTGCCTTCAGCAAGCAAGCAGAGAAACCACCTACCTTAAGTGAGCAAGCAAATAAAGTACATCTATGAATTGGGAAAATTTGATGAACAATTAACTTTCAATATACCACTCATAAAACAAAGAAGACCTACTTCACTTGAGAAATCCTCAAACACAATGGCAACATTAGCTTATTTTTCTACACATTTCTATGCCTCTGTGTAGCTGACAAAGGGAGACACTCCTCATCTGATAATGTACTGTATACCTAGCACAAATGATTATTGGCCTTGAAAAACATATTAGTCATAAACTCAATGATTTGTTTAATGGTTTCATATACACAATTGTCAGCAACAGTAACCATGTCGTCTAGCTAAGCCTGATAATTTCAGAATTTAAATTTGCATACATAATGTACTGAAAGTGTCATAAATATGAACTTGGTAGAATAATTAATAATATAATTTTATAATAATATTTATATTGAGCCAGTATTCTCATTTTCCTATTACCCTACTCACTGTTTGGTGTTCAAATTCTATAGGATAATAATTTTTTGTGAAAGAGAATTTGATTGTCAGGGCAGTACTTAACATCATCTAATCCCACCTATTGTCTTAAGCACCTGGCTAGAGTAAAACTGAAAGGTCCACTGATTAATCTCAGATAAGATAGTATAGTACATACTCCAAGTATCGAAATGCACGCCATCAGTGTTGGGATTCAATATTTCGACATTAATTATGTCATCATCAGGTATCCTTGGCTAGAGTAAGACACACAAGGTTAAATAGATGTCAATAAAGAAAAGCTATTGGACTTAAACTTCACAAATATGACCTATGGAGACCAAATAAAACATTGTGTTAGTGGCCTGAGAACTGAGGTTAATAGAGTGACTTGGAGAAGCTAACTATACTGTTTATTGTTCATTCGTATCTAGGTAGAGTGTGGCGGGCATTGGCATTCCAAGGGTAGAACACTTAAATGTAAGGGGGCTCACAATAGGATTATCAAAATCTCCCAAGTATCTTCTTGAAAATGTCAGTTTGTATGTTTTTCTAAATACACAATTTTAGTTATTATAAAATATGATTCTGAAATTTTCCAGAATGTTTTTACAAAACTAATGTAATGGCAATAACATTTGGTCATCAACTACTATAATACATTGGATCAGCTGCAACTGATTATTTAATTAGTTTTTTTTATTTGCTCTTTCATGCAAAAACTAAAAGTTCTAAATGTGAAAAAGTGTACATGCATGAAAGGTAAATGTAATTAAAATGTATCCAAGTATAAGCCTATGTGATGCAGGATGTGCGTAATTATGTGTAAAATTCTATTTTTGGCTGTGTCCATATGAATCCAATACAAAATGGAAAAAGTTTTCACGGAAATGGAATGGGAGAAAAATCATAGGGGGAAATCATCTGAAGAGAAAAATTAGAAAATCGTTGGGAGACGATGTGTAACTTTGTTGCAGGCCTATATTCTCAACTTCACCTTATTTACATATTTTACAAGGTAATCATGTTGATGCTACATTGAGTTGGGGTAAGTCTCTTCTATAGTCATATCACCCTGCTTTCTGTCCAACTCCCCCAACTTATATCATTATGAGTGTTGATACTCTCATATTACCAGATGTTCCTGAAGTTGAACCAGAAAGGAAGGGGTCAAATCAATGGCATGACCTCCACACAACTCCTACACAACTGTTCTGCTAATTAAGGACTGGCGATACAGACTTAAAATTGCCAGTCTCAAACTGTGCATAATGTAACACATGCTTTGCTGGCTCGTAATGTAGTATAGGAACTGGCCATATTGTTATTATTAAGGTAAATAGCAACCCGAGCATTACAATCACATCTACGTAAACATAGATGTCACAAAAGTCAGTAGAATACTAGCTAGGTGATCTCCTTAAATCAACAGAAAAAAAATACTGTCATAAGTAAAAAGAAAATCCAGGGTTTTGTGCTTAGTAGATGAGCCATATACGACAAGCAATTTTCTATAAATTACGATGGCCTTCATCTGCCACTTCTGTTTATTATTAAAGAAATAATAATACGCTTAATATAATAATCAAAGCACCATTGCTAGCTTCATCCTAATTATTCAACAGTAGGCCTACAGTACAATAAGTGGGCTGTTTATACTGTGGGTGTATCTCTTTATACAATAGCTTAACTGTCAAGTACAAGGCTACTGATATATGTATTGATTTAAAAACTACAAAAGGATAGGCAGAATGAGAGGAGCATTACCACAATCCTTCTCCCAAATACGGGTCGCAAAACAAGTTTGCCCTTTGTAAGTGAAAAGTTGAAAATTATGGCAGATAACTTACATTCGCAATAACTACTACAGTACTTCCTAAGCTACTTGCCTAACTTATTTAGTTCACTGCACTGGCAATTCTAATTCCTCATCTATTCTTTGGATAACAAAACACTCATTCACCAGAAATTGATAATAGAGCTATTTAAAAAGCAAATAGATCCCAACTAATAGTACAAGGACTCCACTTTATTCATGTAAAACAACCAATTTAACTGAAGTACAGTTTTGTTGACAACTTGAAAGCATCCACCCAAAAATATGTACATAACATATGTTTCATTCCACACATCATAATATAACTGAATAAATAAACTAATCTACTTTAACTTCATGCAAAAGTAAGAAATTTAATGATTATGCGTACAACTCTTAAAAAGTTTCATCACAAGAAAAGCTACAACCATCCCATCATTGTTATTATCAATAAATTAGTTAGGCTGTGAATTGGTATTACCTGTTGATAAATGATTATTACACCTGACACAGTTTGGTAACATTCCTCCACTGTTCTCCAGCAACAGGTATCATAAAATACCAAATACGGATGGAAGACTGAATGACAATGATTCAGAGTTCAGCATGTACCCACCAATATTAAATGAACTACTGATTCCTGAATTAATTCCAATGGATTGTTGTAACAGGTCGTATTGTATCCTAGCCAGTTAGCTCTCAGCAGTTTCCTGCTCCCCTGAACGGATTTCTGACCTCCCACAGTAGCCAAGTAGCTAGGCCCGACAGTTCCCGATGCAACCTCGTAAGGGATTACAGATATTTGTCTGGCTACCAATTGCTTTTTGTAATGCTAATTGCACAATTCATGGTTGATTGTGTACCAAATGCATTAATAATTGAAAGCTCACCAAATTCTGTCCCTTTTCAGTACAGTGGTTAGTTCCGTTAGGCCCATTATAATACTTTATAGAGGTTACTACTGTGCAGTAGAGATAGCATATTCCACTTATTCTTATAGGGGCTTTTATGAATGTGTGAGTTGGTGGCAGCAAACAAGATGTAATAAATATCAAGCCATTATCAAATGGTGTTGAAATCCAGGGACCAATTAATAGGAGCGGACATAAAAATGGCTATTCTAGAGGCACTGATCACACCTTTGGGAATGGAAACACAAAGATGAGATTAACCAATTAAAATGGCAAACCATTAACAATCACATCCAATCAAACAGCTTATATAGTGCGGTAGCTTTGGCAGTGTATAAATGTTGACAAATTATTGATGGGAGATCACCCTGACGAGGTCATTTTTTTCCCGACGAAACCTATATCACCAAATTTATGATTAGACAAATGAATAAATTTATTCATTATAATAATAATAAAGTATTAATTGCGATGCAAATGTTAAATCTCCGTTTAAATGTTCTCTATTTTTATTTTCTTTATTTTATTTCCAAAATACTGTAAACTATTTGTTTTTATAACAGAGAATAAACTTAATTTGAATAATAAGATAGGGACCATGATTCAATGTTTCAACCTTTATTGGGTCATTCAACATTTTTACCTTTATTGGGTCATATGATCCAATAAAGGTCGAAACAATAAATTATGACCATCCTCTTATTTTTGGAGTAACGTTCGCTCTATGTAATTTAAACATAATCAATGCATCTTTTGATATTTGTTTTTTATGTACTGATTGTTTCTGCTTGTTCCTTTTATTCCTTCTTATTCCTAGTATAGGCCCTTAACCAATCTGAAATATGACAAAAATATCGACTGACATCATTTCATGAAGAACTTAACACGCCGAGGCACACATGACGGATGGTTTCTAATGAAAATTCACTCAGACTGCCACAAGAATCAGTGTAGGGTTGTCAAGTGCCTACAGAGAACAGAGATGGATTTGTTGGCTGATCAGTGGCTATTAGGCTTAAAAATTAAATTGGAATAAAACAGGGTTGATGACAGCAAAGACAGGTGTTGAACTTCCCATCAGTAAAAATTGACTAGCTTACCTGTCGGGCTTGCCACTCTCTTTACTCAGCGCTCGCCTCGTTCCTTTCTTCTCTTCTTTTGACTTCTTACGCTTTCTTACTTCTGTCTCGGATTCAGAGCTTGATAGATCAGCTGAAACTCGAGAAATCTACAAAATAAAATAGATTCATCATCAGAAACTAATCTATAAAGATCATCAATTTCTAAAATATTACTAAATTTTCAATTCCCCCCCCCCCCCCCGTTGTATGAAGTTCATGGTTTACGTCCTTTCTCTTGACCCTGCTATATGCACACCAAATTCCATAAAAAAAGCATTGATAGGTTATAGATTTTTATTACATTTTTTGGCTTTTTTTTTGGCTTTTCTTTTATTGCAATTAATTAAAAAAAAAACAACTGGGTTTGGTTCATTCATGTACAAAGGTAGGCATGGTGTATGTAGATCACTAAGACCTTAGTAGAGTAATGTTCCAATCTCATGATGCATAGTTTGATTAGGCTGGAATACAATTCATTAAGACAGTTCTATTAGGAAGGGATATGCAGATCAATAGTTTCCTAGAAAACATTCCTACCCCATTATGCAAACTTTCTTTAAACTGGGAGGATGTGGGTTATACAATGTGATATTATTTTCTATTTTTCAAATGCTTTCGCAAATAATAGCCATATGATGGCTTTTGCAACAATAAATGATGCTAAATTTGTCGTGTTGCTGCAGAAACTTGCTACTTGCTTTAAAATTTTTTATCAAAACCAGAATAAATATAAATAAATTTCCACAGAGGCAAAACTCTTAATAAAATAAAATAATCATTGTGTGTATACAGAGATAATTTATCAAACTTATCAATATTTCTAAGTCTGTCACTATGTCAATATTTGAACAAATTTCAATTGAAAAGCAACATGACACAATAATGACAAGTGGTCTTAGGATAAGATGATGCAAAGCCTCATCAAACTATCATCAACACACGTCGATGCGGTTTCAAAATTCATCGCTCAAAACACCTTTTAATGAATAAATCCAGACACATTAACGCAATAATGATCACCATAGGTAGAACGTATGATGTGTTCCCACTGTATTATTAAATATAATAAATGGTTCTGTATAGTATTGTTAAAAATGTCTTTCTAATTCTCTAATAACATTAAAAATAAATAAAATATGTCAGGAAATTAGATTGTTAAAAACAACAGTAGCTGAGGTTTTAATTCTCTGAAAACTACAGGTGGATCACCACAAATATTTGCAAACCTTCAAAATGAACATTACTTACTGTATGTTATCAGATGATTTCTTGGGTGAAGAGGTGTTCAAATATGTAACAATAATGTTGTTGAACTTACCTTATATTAAGGACATGTTAGGTATTTCACTACCAATTCTCAATTTTCATATTTCCTACTTATTACCAGACCAACCCAATATATTAGAGGGGTTGAACTATAATGAACATTTATAGAAGGGAAAAAATTACTTTAACTCATTGGTAGATTTTGTTTCTAGTTACAATATATGGGAAACGTGCCTTAATTTCAGTAATTGCAACCTTACATTATATTAATTTATTCATATTTAGTTATATAGAATATAGTAAAGTGTTCTCCAAATTTATATAATTCTTGGAGAAATAGATTCTAAACCACAATTCACTCCTTCTGTAAGTTTTGGAAGAGTCCAAGACTGAAGCCAAACACGAGACCAATGACACCTGCTGTACTTATAGGCTGATGGGCCAAAGTCTAGATGAATCATAAAATGCCCAATTCCACAGAAATTGAAGAGAACATATTAATAAACTATGAGTAATATGTGTTATACTGTTAGTGTTTGTACTGTAGGTGGGTGTAAATAAATTAATTACTATTTTCTGGATAAAATCAACATGAGAGCTATTCTTTTTCAGAAAATTTTACCCCTTTGCTACTGTAGTCATTTTGTGGAAATTCTATTTTATGATTACACCCTTACTGATTATATGAGTGTATGCATGTCTTGTGTTCAAATATAATAATATACAAACATGTCGTTGAAACTGATGCATTTTAGATTATTCCAATGAATGTTGTTCTAGATGATGATGATGATGGATGATAACGATGATAATGATAAAGATGATGATGATGATGAAGATGATTATTAAGATAATTATCACAGTATTATAATAATAATGTTGATGATAAAGTAGATAAAGAAAAAAATATATCATAATGATTTATAGTAATAAAACACTACACTTACATGTTTGACTTTATTTTCAGTACTCCTTTTTAATATTCCATTTGAAGGCTCTTGTTTCACCTCTTTGACCTCCTGAGCCTCACGCTTCAATATTCCAGACACTTCCACTCGATCTTTACTGGTATCTCTCTTCAAAATTGACCTACTTTCCACAGATTCTTTCTTTTGATCAGATTCAGAATCCTTCCTCAGAATTCCTTCAACATCTTTCTTATCAGCACCAGAGTTTTTACGAAGGATACTGGAAACATCTTTCTCAGTTTCAATTGTTAATTCTTGCTCTGACTTTAAGATACTACGAACTCTCTCTGCCCTAATGCTGTCATCAGCAAGGCTTCTCTCAACTTTGACACTTTCATGTCTAACAACATTGTTAAAACTGTCCTTGCGCTCAATTTTCAGAATGCTTCTTGGAGAATCAGCACCGTCCCCTTCTGTACTCTCCCCAGAAGGTTGCTTCTTTAAAATACTACGATGAACAGATGGAGAGCTAGGGGGTGTGAAGTTCCTATTGTCTAGTTCCCCTGCCTTAGGGTCTTTACTGTCTGATTGTGAGTCTCTGCGTTCTGTGATGGAGCCACGACTACCTGACAATGAAAGAGATCCCCTGCTTCCTGACAAAGAGTTCTTTTCTGCATTTTGCTGATTAAATACAAGTTTAATTTGGTCAGCCAATGGAAGATTTGCCAGGAGTTCTGGATCTGGAGGTTTTGCAAAACTACAGGCAAGTGGAGAGAATGAACCAGCTTTCTTAACCTCCTCAATTGTAACTGGTTGCGTTTTAAATCGGGACTCCGTACGCTTTTTACGTCTAGGAGTTGATCGTTTTGGTGGTGGTTCTTTTTTTGTCTCTTCAGCTTTCTCTTTGAATAATTTCATTTTTTCTGATAGCGTCAATTTTGAGAATTCATCCTCTTGTACCTCTGCTGTTGTTGATGTAAGACTGATTGAACTTTGTGATCGTGCTGTTTGATTCTGGGCCCAGTTAGCAGCATCCGTAAGCTCCTCAGGTGTAACAGGCTGGGTCTGCCATCTATCATGCGTTCTAAGACGTTGAACACACTTGTGTACTGGCTTAGGTGATGGTGGTGGGGTACTGCTATCTACAGCAATCTTAGCAAACATGATTTTCTTTTGGCTGATACTCAAAGAGGAGAGCACATCTTTGTTGTCGTCCGTTCTGTAGAAAAACCAAGACAGAAATGAATCTATGAATATTTGAAATAACAATCCCTTAGTATGTCGTTCTATTTTGGTTTCATCACTTCCTTAACACAGCTTGTTTGCCCCAACACAATACAGTCTTTATTCAGTGAGTTTGCTATAACAAACTTGAGTTTACCAGGACACTGATAATAATCTTTTGCAAATCTATAAGTACTCAAATCAATAGAAAAGCTTGGCCAAATCACAAATACGTGGGGAAGCAATCTTATTTCAAGAACATGTTGTTGATCCATTTGTCTGTTGATAGTTAAGCACACAATAATTAAGAGTTAAGTACACATTCACATTACAGCATATGTGATCTATAATTGACCACCGTTAGCGATAACATCTTCAAAATGTTATCACATTATGATCTGACAGTTTTGGTAGTGGTGGTTTATACCATACAATAGGGTGACCTTTACAACTTAAGATCACAAGTTGGCTAACATCTAGGGGCACTTTTAAATAAACAAAATAATGTATTGCTCTATAAACTAAGTCTCAGTACAAGGCGGATGAGGGCGCATAATGTATTTTAGTAGTGAGAAAAAACCATTTCATTTCATTTAGTTTTATTGTTCAATTTTAAAAAGGAAAAGCAAAGTGGAAACAAATTCATTGCTTATTTAAAAATATTTAAAAAAATATTAAAAATTGTACACACAGTATAATCCTGCGCTTTCATAGGATTTGAACAAAGGACACTAAAATTGAAAGGCAGGCATCTTCACCACCAAGCTAGGCCTCCACTTTGTCATGATGGGAATGATGATCATAATGATAGAATTAGAAGTAATAATGATGCTGACGATAAATGATGATGTTGATAATAAGAACAGTGATTATGGTAATGGTGATGATGGAGATTATATATTATTTTTCCCTGATGATAAAATACTAATCTCAAAAAAGTTTTAGATTGATATTACATAGAAATGTAAATGTTAATATTAATTATGGTCCTTTTATGAATATCAACTAGGGAATTTAGACTAGAAAGCTGGGGGCCCACGACAACCACACATGAGGGCCTACAAATGATCAGTACACTGGAGACAATCGCCTTAACTTTTTCTGAATAGCCTACATGACCATGAACTAATATGCATTGACAGATGCAAGGGGTAAGGAGAGTCTTAATCAAAAAAGAATGAGCAGCATTGACTGTCACAAATTCAAATCCCTTACTGCTGTGCGATCTTCCTCTCTGACATTAATTGATATACAGTATTTTACTGTATTGGTTTCTGTTTTCCATACATTTGCATAATTGTCATAAATTCATCAATTGTATTTGTTGTTGATACAGAAATTCACTTACCCTTGTTCTTCTGCTGGTAGGTCAAAGCTGCAAGACTTCCTCATTGCAGACTTCAATTGCTTCTGTGAATCTGACTGACTGGAATCAATTTGTTTGAATTTCTCCAATCGTTCTGAAACATTTACTTTTGTAATTTCCTCAGACTTCTTTATTGTCTGTTTCTCATCCTCCTGAGAGTCACTGTTTCCATCCACCAGCTGGGCTCTACGAAGCTTCATCATTGATAACAACTCATCATCTTTCACCTGCAGGGCATTGAATTTAGATTTGTCCTTCTCGAGTTCAGTTTTTGTCCGCAACGATCCATGTCGACGCAAGCCATGTGATGGATACCCTTCTTCAGAACTAGAAGATTTTGTAACATTACTTGATTGATTTTTAGTGTCTTTGATTAACTTATTTCCTGGTTTTTCCACAACTTCACTCTTTGATCGCTCTTTCAACTTATTTGTTTTTAACTTTACCTCATTTTGATCATCATCAGAAAGTTTTTTGGCTTTTCTAGTTATTGCATCAGAGTCTTTGGCATCAACTGATTTCTTCTCTTGTCTTAATTGTTGAGCTGTGCTAACAGTTTTCTGTGTTGTCTGTCGATTTGTTGAAATCTCTTTCCTTTCAATTCTTGTTGATGTTGATTTTTTACGTTCTGGACTTTTCTTTTCACTACTTTTCTCCTGTTTAATTTCTGTTCGCACACTTGAAGACAGTTTCCGCGTTTTTTCTGATTCAATCTTGGATGCCTTTGAAGTTTCTTTTGTTAATTTTTTCTCCTTTTCTGCTAAACCAGAACGAAGTCTGGGGCTACTGGTGACATCAACTGTCCCTGGTCTAGAAGTGTCTGAACGCTTCCTTAACCGGTTATCACGTGGACTTCCTTCTTCTGGACTTAAGATTGGAGAGCGGTTTCTTTGTCTAGAGCTAGAGGACACTTTTCTGGTGGCTACTTTTTCTTCCCTTTTATCAACACTGATCCTTTCTGATTTTGCGGTTGACAACTTCCTAGGACTACCTCCATCTTTGGCAGCTTTTGCTTTATTAACTCGATCTAAATGAATCCGAATAGCATCTTGCTCTCTTCTGGAAAGTTCTCGTTTTTGTCGATGCATCATGTCTTCGTCATCAGATATTACGTCAGTAATGTCTTCTGGCTCTACCTGATGCAGAGAGGTTTTTGTTGCCTGTTCAGCCCACTGCCTCTGCTCTTCTATTGCAGGTTCCTGGGCAGATTCATCACATATATCTGGGCCAAATTTAGTCTGAAAAGTTTTAAAAAAAAACAAACAAATACTTCATTTTTTGAATAAGATAAAATTTTGATTTCATAAAACAATTAGAATAATATTAATATGTTTCAAAATAAGTAAGTACAATGATGCAAATGAATGGAAAATGATTTACTTTAGTATTTGTTGACTGGCAAGAATTGGCAATGCTTCTGATTTTATAGGAAATATATCGGCAGTAATCTGTGTCCGGGTTCAGACAAATTCAAACAGGAAATTCAATTTTGTCATACATCATCATTCACAACACTTTTCCTAGAATTTTCTTTGTTTTATCCTTCAAATTACCATCACTACCAATTAATAAATAAGTTTATAATTTCTCATAAACATAGCTTGTAAGTAAGGCCAATTAAAAAAAAACCACATGTTCAATTAGGGTTAACTGGCAAAACCTACACCACAAAAACAAGGTCAATAAAATCTTAATCTGATAATACTAAGTTTTACTTAAGTAATAACAGAAGTTTTAGATATATTAAAATTTTAAAAAGCAGACAAATATCTTAAAATTTATAATTAATTACTGTATACGGTGATAATAAATACTCAGATAATTTTAACACTAGAACTTATTATTTCATTATTCTATAACATAAAATTATATTTAATATGTACAACTAATTTCAGTTATATATTATATTCTTTTCCATGCAATCATAGTAGCCTAAGTTATTTATCATATTATTCTATCTACAAAAAAACATACAATGTATTAAATAAATTCAGTTCTTTATTAGGCTATCTGTTTTGATGACAATATTGTCATACTGCCACCATAAGAAGTAAATGTTATGTATTGTGTCATGTGATCAATACTTCAACCAATCACAGCATATTATATAGCCACAATGGCATATTGCTTCTTTTTATATCATATTTTCAAAACCAAAAGTGATCATGTCTTCCATGAGTGATAGTAGAAGGAACAGTGACAAAATCCATTCACATCACAACTTGGAAATTTCCTCCATGTTTTTTTCTTGACGACTACATTAATCAATGAATGACAGGTTGTTGTACTTTTAAAGAGGATATGGGAATATGGCAGACAAGACTGCGAGACTAGCCAATCACCAAGCTTCCTTCCACATGCTTTCTTAATGCTAACTGTTGATGACTTTAACTTCTAAATGACATTGAAACAAAAATCTATTTCTCTAAATGAAAAACTTGAATGAAATGTTTTAAAATATTTAATTATTTATTTTCATACCAACATCATTAAAAATCACCATTAAAAAGATGGCACGTTGATTATATGGTACGCAAATGCCACACGGCACTTATTATTCTGTTTCTTGTGGTGGCGGTATAACAATTTTGTATGTAAATATAAAGGTATGCGCAATTAAAAAGAACGCTTTTGATACTATAGTTTTTATCAGTTTTAATAATAACAATTATATTGAAAATTGTTTTATTATGTTTATATAACGCTGGTATCAATCATCTGAACACCAATGCATATAAAATAAAATATTAAATACTGTATTTAAATTACAGTATTTAATGTATTATATTTATTAATTAATCCACAGATTTCAACTTCCACATTATGATATCTATTACATCTTTAGGTTTCATATATAAACAACAGGTACTAAGGTATAATAACTATTTTGTCTCCATCAATGTATTCTGGATTTGTAATATACTTAATTCAATGTGTCAGCGGAAAAAAGAATAAAATATCAATAAAATGATCTTGTACCTCATGAATGTAAATCATGTATTCGTCAATGGGCCGTGTTCATCTGCAATAGAACTAATAAGAACGTCTCTGTCTTCTAATTTCTTAAGTAGTAGTTGTACGTATACATGCATTTATCTTTATTATAGACTTATATTCGCTGTGAGCCTGGAATTCAGGTCAAAGGTTAGGAAACATTCATCCACGACATGACTCACATCATTATATTTTATAGAAATCATCAGTAAGTTAAGGAGCTTTCACTAGGTTTACTTAATGTGACACAGTATCTAATAACTTAGGACGTTAATTCATAACAATAGTGTGATAACATTGATATTCATTATTGTCAATGATTCACTATCAAATCTGAAATAATAAAGGGGGTTGGTATGGTGGTGCCAGTAGGGGTTCGGCAATTCCTTTTATGACAGCATTCATACAGAAAGGCAATATTACCGCAATATTTGGCTGGTATGAATGATCCATGTCGGTAAGTGTACCGGTATTATTGCCGCAATATTGCCGGAACCTGTCTGAAAATGGCAAACCACCAGGGTTCTTTTAAAATTAAACTCTCTGACCAGATGCCATTAACAGCCCCTTAGTTTGGTCTACATTCCAGACTTGCTGGGCACACTATTGAAAAATTCTGGAGCCATAAATGTGCTTAGGGATTATCCATTATTTTCATCATTTCTTAAGAGTACAAAACATGTTTAACTTTAAAATAAGTATATGTTTAATTTTTTCATACAAAAATATACCTATTAGAACAAAAAAAAAATTAGTCATTATGAATACATTTGAGGAGACTCAATGCCTCTTTTTTTTTTCTAACGTTTAATTAGCCAATTATGTCGTAAATGACTACTTATTCTAAACACAGGACACACTGCATTACTATTAGTTCTAAACACATTGAAATTTATAAATTTCATTAATATTTACCAGTTTTTTTAATTCAAGCCTCATGAGATACTGAGATAAAGTGTTTTAAAAGTTCAAGAGCATGAATTCTTGATGTCTGTGCTTTTCTAATTTTGTTCAGGAAACCCTTGTCCCTCATCAATTTGTAATATCCTTAAAACTTAGCAAGGATCAAATGTAATGCTAAGTGTGGTTTTCAATGCTAAATGGACAAAACAGAGGTTTAATACTTTTTCTTGTTTCTTTTCAGTGTTTTGTTTATGCTACTGGTATTATACTATACTTTTAGAGCTCAGTTTAAGGTCACTTTAAGAATGAGCTTAAATTAACATATTTAAAGTGTGGCTCAATAAATCTATTAAATAAGATAAAGAAACATTTTTACTTAATAGATTTATTTAATAAAACTTTTAAATAAAACTATTATATGTAATATACACTAATTAACAATTAGTGTTTTATTACTTTACTAATTGTATGAATTGTCTAATGGATGCAATTAATACCTGCACTTTTACCTTCTGAAGACACCAATAATCAATTACAATTATTGACAAGACAAAACATTCGACACTTGATTATTATTATTACAATTCACTGGACAGGTATTTAGGAATTCTTATGCTGTCAACAAGAAACCATCGAAAGTCAGAATTGAATAGACTATTTAGTTCAATTGATTTCTTATTAATTACTTAGGGTTGATTAACTGTGTTGACAAAGACTGAAATAGGATCTAAAAATTTTCAATTATATTTATAATAAGATAGGTTGTACTTGTAGATTGGAATAGCTTAAATATCTAAAATAATATTTATTGATAAATTAATGGTTAAAACACTTGTAAGGAATCGGATGTCACTGAACATTAGATAATAATAAATAACTGATTCCCACTAGCTAATAGCAGCTGAGTATGTATCATTTATTATTCTATATATTTGTAATATGTATTACTAGTTGAATGTGGCCAACACTGAGCCCCTAATAAGCATTACTATTAGTACAATCTGAATGGTAATGTGTAAAAATGTTTGACACAAGGAAATAAGGTCATGAATCATGAAAATACTTCAGGAAAAGAAACTGCTAAATTAATTAATTACAACTCTTTTTTACGATGTTTAAGAATCTGTATTACTACTTTATTCTAAACTAAAATTTAAATAGGGTTCACTTATCAACTAGTTTCAGCAAAGCTTATCCATGTTTAGGGCTAATAAGGTTGTATCTTCCGTCATTCTTACTCTATTCCCTATTGCATCTGTAGTACTACTGATAAGCGATAAATAAGTCTTTGTTTTTCTTTTTGGAGTTTGGAAAACAATGTCTAAGTATGCAGTAGGGAAGTAGATATTATGTTGTTTTTTAGAAATTATTATTAACACCCACAATTTCTCAAATATGTTAAAGGAAAAATAAAATATATAATCATAAATAATAATTGAGAGGAAATATAATTTATTACATTATTTGTAATATAAAATAATGTTAAACTATTTTTTATTATGTTGCCATTAAAACATTCAACTCAAAACAAACACAATTAAAGTTAACTGAATCAAGCTTTTGTAATGTTATTATTATTAATATTATTTATAAAAGTCTTTACACCTATTTTGTCAAATTTGTTTTTAATGTTTATTTGAGTTTTCTTATTCTATAACAGGTGTATTTATTTAAGTAATTGGATGTCCTATTAAATACACAAGTTCAATGGTTGAATTATTGGAAATAAAACACCATATTTATTCAACTGTGAATATTCATTAATGAATTAAGAGTTTCTCTTACCTCAATTCCAAATTCAAGTTCTCTTGCTTTCCTAAGTTCCTCCTGTGTGATCGGAACACACTGTTTCCTATGGCGGTCCCGTTGCCTAGATGTGCGAGTTTGGCTGATTTCTTTCGCAGGCACAGTAATGTCTATGGAAGAAATAGAAGACTGAGATAAGTACAACTGCTGCCTGTAACCCCCTATGTACGTACCAGCACGAGGTCTGCCCTTTATCTCGCTTTTCTTAGGCCTGTAATTCAAGGTGGCGGCCCTCTTTTTAATGTCTTTATTGCTGTTGGGCTGAGCCTTCTTCGACTTCCTTTTGCTAAACAGGGATCCCATTTTAGCTACGTGTACTCGTCCCGTCAATGCCACAATTCCAAATGAGAAGCAACAGGTCTAAAGCACCGCTTACTATTAAATGACTTAATCATCAGCCATGTGATCGTGGCCAGGCGACCCAAACACAACGAACAGTTCGTTGAGAGAAGCTTTCCAAGGAAATACTTTCATTTCCATAAAAAATCACAGTTGATATTGTAATGAACATGGATATTATGCGGCGTATTAGCCATATCCTCTGTAAGCAGAGTGCACAGTATGCCTACACTGTGGTGTCAGTGATTCAAAGAACCAAGCCTTACACAAACACACCTTCCAAGTCATTGTCAGATTTCCTAATTTTACAATATTTATATTGTGAAATATAGGACAAAGTATTTTATATACTCTGTGATTAATCATATTTTTCTATCATCCCTCCTAAAAAAAATTGTCTATTGTATTAAGAAACTTAAATAAGGAATACCATTAGGATTTAATACTAAATTTATTTTTCTTTTTCAACATTTATATTTTGTATCAAAGACACCACGGTTTAGTGTAGTCTCTTTAGATGGATATAAAGAATGCCATGGGTATAGCCTGACGATTTTACGCAAATCCAAGGTGTTGATTGGTGAAAATGGATTGACCCTAACCTTTAACTTCAATCTTGCTATCTTAATGTACTACAGCATGCGGGAACAATATCCATTTCCATTTTTATATTTTATTTGGCACATCCTGTAAAGAAACTCCAGTATAAAATACTATGGAAGTAAAATTTACCATTCAACAAAAAAAAAAAAAAAATTAGTGCCCCTTCCAAATTCGTTTTTTTGGGCATCAGCTTTATGATATTGAAAGTAACATTGGTAATACCTGGTAATACTGAACCTGATCTACACAGGCCAAAGTAAGGGTACATGAATATGAAAAGTACTACTACTGTATTTTTATGCTATTACAGCGACTAAAGAGCATCGCAATGATAAAAAAAATATATATTAACAAAATGATGTGGCAGGAAAAAAGGAAGAGGGCGGAGAACAGGAATTAATTAATATTTTTTTGTTTGACCTTATTATTGTCTTGATGTTGACCTTAGTGAAGATGCATCAATTAGTTATTTGTTAATATCTTTCACATTCAATCAAACAAGTATTGCACTAGCTAATTCCTACAACTACCGGTATGGGATGCTTTATAAATAGTCGCATTATATGGCTAGTTTAAAAGTTTGGTTGGTTCATTAGAAAATAGCACGGAATTTCGCAGGATTTGAACACTGGAATTGGGAAGTGGTAGGTAGGCACTAAACCACACGACACACACCATTAATATTCTATTTTTCCTTCTTCTGAGACCACAATTTTTAAATTATTTTATTCCTATTAGACAGCAAGTAGCCTGGAGATATAATAAAGAAATCATTTCTGTGATAGTCTACAACGTTGAACCATTTTGGAAATCAGTGCTTTACCACTGAAAGTGTCATTTCAGTATAAAGACAGAATAAATAAAAAAAAATACAAACTAATTGTCAATGTTTAGTGAGTAGTGATGTGCTTTCATTATTAAATTGCTCACATTTGCACTTTGATGGGAAAAGAGAGGGGGTGTGTCACTGGTAAGAATAAGTTTTTAGCTCAAAAGTGAAAGAAAATATGGCACTCCAGAGTAAATTACATTTTCCACCCATGGGGTTTGTCTGGTGCTGTTAGATGTGCTATTTTTTGATGTTGAGACTAAAAAAGGGTAAATTACAAATAAGTCAAGTTCATCTGAATTAAAAAACTAAAACCATAATGAGTAAGAATATAGCTAACATTAATTAAAAAGAAACTTTCTTTCACATTTTCAATTGAAAATGTTTGAAGAGTAACAACAGACGTAATATTCAATAATGATTTCCCTAGCATATGCCTCTTGTCACATTAAGCAGGTTGTAATTAATATAATGGCTTGCTTTTTCACTATGTGACTTGGACGATGTATATCTAAATATAGTTAATGAGTCACATGATAATAAACTACAGCTTTATGGCCAGTGAAATTTTCAAGAGCTAAAACACATTTAACATCCTATTGAGAAATAATAACCAAAATAAATGCTAACAAGTCAAAAAGATTCTAAAACAAACATTTGTACATACTACTTTATTTTTAAAACTTAAACTTAAACAGATTAATTTAATGAGTAAATTATACATCATTCAAAAAAGCACAGCTGGTAAGTCTACGAAATGTCCAATTGTTAGATATCATGGGCTACCAAGCGTTAAACGCTTCATATCATCGGCAGCTGGGCAAATATTATTATCTCCAATTCTAGATATTAATAAAAGTTGATGTACCATTACAAATAACATCAAATAACGTTATGATAAATCATAATACCAAAACCATATTAATACTGTCTATTATCTATCTCAAAGAAATGTATCGATCTAATTGGAGTTTTGCTTTAGTTTTTTTTTTGAAAACCACTTTGACAAAGATAATTTCACTTTCTTGGAACTCTTTATCAATATTGATTTTTTCTTTTTTGCTTTTTTTTTAAATTGTTGATCTATGCAATTCTGTTAATTTATAATATGTAAAGATTAAATAAATTAAATGAGCAAAAAACAGAATAGGATTTACTAGTTTTACTAGTTGTTTATCTGTAATCCATTCATAGGGATTAACATGTAAAATTTGAGGATAAATATTCGGTGTAATCCATAAAAAGATAAGACAACCAATCTGAAATGTTTGTTACTGTATATCATTGTTATCACAATAAATTTGACATATATTATCACATTGATTAACAAGTACAATATTATATACTAAAATGTATGTATAATGGACATAGGTTGGTTTCATCACAGGAGAGTGAAAATTGAGAATGTGGAACTAAATCCCTATTGCTGGGATGAAGGGTGGGAAGGGTGTGTACATCCGTAGTAAATCACTGCTTGATAAGTAACTAGCAGGCAGTTGTTAAAAAGAAAACCTACAAATTATTGTCCACTTGGCATCATTTTTTAGAAATTTACATTATACTGTTTTTCATAAAGAAATTATAGTGATTGAGAAATTGATACTGCACACAGGACATGTACATAGCTGAATCATAGTCGTATAATACGTCTACATAATAATATAAGATTACCAGACTGTTGAGCTGATAATGTTATATATAGAAAGACATGGGTTGCTAAAAATACTGACAGCATATGCTAGGAACTGAAATTAACGTTGAATGAATGTGTTGTGAACATACAATAATTATCGTCGACGTACATGCATCTGGTTAGCATAGAATTGCAAGTGCTAAAGTCACAATATATTAAACTACAGGTATTGTAAGGTATTAGATCTTAAGACCTATTTTAATTTCAATATGATTAATTAATATTCCACTATCAATTATCTGGATATTCCAACCATCTATCTGACAGGAACAATTATTTTATTAGTCATATCAATTTAAAAACAAGGATGGTTGATGCAGAGAAAGCTAATTATTTTTGTTTGTCCCCAAATGCAAAAGTATGGGAAGTAAAATATTTTGTTTCTGAGAGTCAGAAAGAAAGGGGTTGCCCTAGTTCTACCATAGAGAAAATTTTCTCTGGTTCTACTCACTCAGCTTCGCTCGATGTCAGAATTATTAAACAGTAATAATTACAAGTTATTGTCTGTAAAATGTACACTAATTCAGTAATATTTTTAAATCATTGATGAATAAAATTTTAGATATTCAACCAAGCCAGAACATTAGTTTATCCGCCATTATATCACTATGACAAACTAAATTTACAGTATTAATTATATACTGTGACATTTTTCTATTTTGCCTTACACAAATAAATATCTTAAATGAATTACATTTATTTCTACTAAGGTATGTAATGACTATCATTAAAGTACTGAATCTGATTCTTGCTGCTACTAACCTTAAAATCCACAATAATATCATCATAAAGTGAACTTCAGTATTTAAAGAAATATGGATCAGACAATAAAAGCCAAACATCTCTATAAAGCAGCCGGCCAGGAAAGCTAACAGCCAACCTCCTGCTTCCATTGATTCCAACAGGAAGCCTTACCTGTGGAATACTGGTCAAGTACCTATCACCCACATTAATATTTTGTAAATCACTTAAAGGAGCCATCCCACCTATCGATATATTTTTTAGTTTAATTAAAGGGCCATTTTAGCCTATCATTTTATTTGTAGTTTGCTTGTATACAGCCAGTTTAAAGTCATGCTCCGGAGAAAAAAAAATTTATATCTGTTATATTATAACTGATTTTTCTAACACACAGATTTTTGAATATTTAAAAACTAGAGGAAAAATGTGGAAAAGGGCAGTTATGCCCCATTCCCTCCAGTTTTTAAATATTAAAAAATCTGTATCTCAATAACCGTTCCCGATTTTTTCGTCGAATATGCTTTTTGCATCTTAGAAAATCAGTGGTACAACGTATCCAAAATTTTATTCCTATGGAACTAGGCTTTAAATATTTTGTAGCTTAGTTGAAGGGGTTGTTTAATCTATCTTAGCACTGCATTTTGTAGTTTAGTTAAGAAGCCTCTCATCCTACTTGTTTACTTGTTTATATTTTAGTTAAGTTAAAGAGGCTAGTTAACCTATCTTAATTATTTTGTAGTTTGATTGAAGAGTCAGTCATCCTACTTTAATACATTTTAGCTCAGTTAAGGGGCTGTCTCATCTATCTTAAGATTTTGTAGTTCTGTTAAAATGCAGTCAATTATGCTGTTTAGATATCTAACAGCCTACTTAAAGGGCCAGTACACCTATTTTGATATTTTATA